CTTTCTTCCGTGGCTGCTGGATGAGTTAAAACAGCCAACCTTTAGTTCGTGGTGGTGGTGATGTGCCGTGAAGTCAGTTCTGACTCATAGCGACCCTGCATAGGATTTCTGAGGCTGTAAATCTTTACGGGAGCAGAAAGCCACAGCTTTCTCCCACAGAACAGCTGGTAGTTTCGAACTAGCTAAATCTTAAGGTTAGCAACCCGACTGGTAACCCGTATGCTACTAGAGCACCTTCTTTATTTATTTATTTATTTTTGTGTGTGTGTGCCTTTTATTTTTATTTTTTAATGTTTTATTGTGAATTATGTGACAGTTTACATGGGAGAACATTGGTTTTACATTCATTCTATTGTATATCGTCTCATTGCCATGGTTACAATCCCCTCCATGCAATCCTTCCCCTGTGCCCCCCAGGTCTTCAGCACACAGTCGCTCTCCCTCTCTGGGTCTAGAGCACCTTCCTTTAGTTAGTAGTAGAGCACAAACCATTAACACCACCTCCTCAGCAATAAAAATGAATGAACCATTGATTTACCCAATAATAGAAAGGAAGAATTCCCCCAAACATCACACAGAGGAAAGCACCCTAGCTCAAAAGCATGCATTTGTGTGATTATATTTATATAAAAAGTTTTATAGTATTTTATTATGTTTTAGGTGAGCATTTACACAGAAAATTAAGTTCCAATTCACTAATTTCTATACATATAATTCAGAGTCCTTGTGTGGGTCTGTAGGATAAGCACTAGATTGCACACTACCAGATCGGCAGTTCAAATGCACCAGATGCTCCTTGGAAACCCTATACAGGCTGCACTTAACAACAATATACATAATGTTCAGTGGCATTACTTACATTTTTTCATAATGTCAACTTCCCTCATTGCTTACATTTTAATTGTTCTGTTTCTATTCATCTAGCTGCCTTAACTCCTCTTACCTGCTCATGTTTGTTGTTGTTGTTGTTGTTAGGTGCTATCTAGTCAGTACCGACCCATAGCGACCTTATGCACAGCAGAACATTTCCTTTACAGTCAATGTTAATGGGTCTCATTTAAATGATTTAATAAAAGAACTCAGTATCCACTGGTAATATTGTTTATGATCCAATCTGTTACTTTGCTGAAAGTTGACCTCCAGGAATAGTATCAGTTCCAAGTTTAAAGGGTATCTCAGTGTGACTATCTCAGGGGCTCCTCTATTCTCTACCAGTCCAGTAAACTTTTTAAGAATTTGGATTTGCTCTATATAGGACTAAAGTGCATCTGACCCAAACCATGATATTTTCAATAGCATCATATGTATGTCAAAGTTGGACAATGAATAAGACGTAGAAGAACTGAGTTTTGAGTTGTGATGTTGGAGGAGAATATTTAAAAGTACCATGGACTATCAGAAGACAAACAAATCTGTGTTGAAAGAAGTACAGTCAGTATGCTCCTTAGAAGCCAGGATGGCCACACTACATGTGTCATGCTTCAGACAGATTATCAGGAGGGACCAGTCCCGGAAAAGGACAGCATGCTTGATAAAGTGGAGGGTCAGTGAAACACAGAAAGACTCCTAATGAGATGGATTTCACAATGGCAAGAGCAATGAGCTCAGCAACAGTGAGACCGGTACAGGACGAGGCAGTGTTTCCTTCTGCTGTGCATAAGGTCGCTATGAGTCAGTACCAACTTGATGGCACCTAACAACAACACATACTCATCTTGTTTGTTCATTGTACTGTGGTGGGTTGTGTGTTGCTGTGATGCTGGAAGCTATGCCACCGACATTTTATATATTAGCAAGGTCATCCATGATGGACAAGACTAAGACAAATTAGGAAGAAGGAAAGGAGGATTGCTTCTGAATGTTTGACCAGGGAAAACTTTATGAATAGCAGCATTATTAGATATAGAACCAGAAGATGAAAGCATTATGAATAGCAGTAGAATATTGTCAGATACAGTGTTGGAAGATAAGCCCCTCAGATTGGAAGATATTCAAAATATGACAGGGGAAGAGCTGTCTCCTTAAAGTAGAGTTGACCATAATGACGTGAATGGAGTGAAGACTTCAGGACTTTCGTTTGCTGATGAGGCACAACTCAAAATAAGGAGAAATAGCTGCAAACATCCATCAAGAATCAGAACATGGAATGTAGGAAGTATGAATCTAGGAAAATTGGAAGTTGTCAAAAATGAAATGAAACACATAAAGATGGATATTGTAGGTGTTAGTGAGTTGAAATGGACTGCTATTGGCCATTTAAAATCAGACAACCATGTGTCTTACTATTCCAGGAACAACAAATTGAAAAGGAATGGCATCGCATTCATCTTCAAAAAGAACATTTCAGGATCTATCTTTAAGTATGAAGTAAAATGCTGTCTATGATAGGCTAACAGCCAAGTGTGATGCTGTAGGTTAAGCACTGAACTGTTAACCACAAGATTGGTGATTCAAACCCACAAGCTGCTCCTTGGAAACCCTATACAGGGTCGCTATAAACCAGAACCGACTTGATGGCACATAACAACAAAAACAACACAAGCAGGACGAGTAAATACCACTATTGTTGAAATTCATGCACCAATCACTAAAGCAAGTGATAATGGAATAGAATTCTACCAACTTCTTCAGTCTGAAATTAATCAAACATGCAATTAAGATGCATTGAAAATTACTAGTGATTGGATTGGGAAGGTTGGAAACAAAGGAAGGATCGGTCGTTGGAAAACATGGCCTTGGTGATAGAATTGATGTTTAAATTTTGCAAGACCAACAACTTATGCATTGCAAATACCTTTTTTAAACAACATGGACCTCAACTGATGGAATACACAGGAATCGAATTGACGACATCTGTGGGGAAAGGCGGTGGAAAATCACAATATCAAGTCAAAACAAGACTAGAGGCCGACTGTGGAAGAGACCATGAAATGCTTGTCTGCCCGCTCAGTCTGAAGCAGAAGGAGATTAAACAAACAGGAAGAGTGCCAAGGGGTGGGAAACTAAGGACGCAGACACGCCCAACTTTCCGCCGGCTCAAAACCCGGAAGTGTGGCCCAAGTTCAGACACCAATAGCGCACGCGCACCGCTGGATAGGCCAATCAAGAAAAAGAGAGGCGGGCACTCAGAAGAAATAGAATTGGCAAACAGGAAGTGTGGCAGTTTACCTACAGATTGCCTGCAGGCGCCATGGCAGCTTACGAGCAGGTCCAGAAGGGTCCCCTGAAACTGAAAGGCGTCGCAGAGCTCGGCGTGACCAAGCGGTGAGGATCGCGGGGCCCCGTCACTTGCCCCCTGAGGCCTTTTTCCAGTATCCTGGACTCTTGCCCTCTGACCTGCCCTTACCTCCCTGTCTCTCCTCCAAGGAAGAAGAAAAAGAAGGACAAAGACAAGGCGAAACTTCTGGAAGCGATGGGAACGAACAAAAAGAACGAGGAAGAGAAGCGGCGTGGCCTGGACAAGAGGACCCCTGCCCAGGTGGCCTTCGAGAAGATGCAAGAGAAGCGGGTGAGGCTGGGAGTGCTGTAGGAGGGGCAGGGAGGGGAGGCCGGTCTGGGAATCTGTCCTGGGCCCGCGGGGGCTGGCGAGCTGCCAGAGAGACCCCTAATGCTGGGGAGAGGAGGCCCCTCGGAGCTGGGGAGCTCCAGGACGGGAACGCTGGGGCTCAAGTGGACCAACAAGGGACAGTCAGTGCTGGAAATCTTGCGTGGATCCCAGCGCTGTCGCTCATTCGCTGAGACAGTGGACTAGAGACTCTCTCTGTGCCTCAGTTTCCTCGTCTGTAGGCGTCATGCACGGTAGTACGTGCCCCGGTAGGAGGCAGAATGCATTGACACTCAGTCTGAAATAGAGTGAGTACTCGGTGGCACAGGCACCTTGCTAGGCACGTTCAAATAGGTGTCTCTTAGGCTCCAATAAGGAGCTCTGGTAGCGTAGTGGTTACGAATCGGGCTGCGAACCTTAAGGTCAGCGGTTC